GCGAAGTCATAAAAGGGCCCCATACCCGCATCCTCATAGGTGATTCCTGCGGCTTTAAAAGAAGGTTGCTGCGGAAAAGGTGGCAATGAAAATTGTCCAACCCCATTACCCGGGGGTATGGAACACAAAAATACATAACTCAGAAAGAAGATAGGGAAGTACATTTTCCCGGTCTGATCAGTCGAATGTTTGTGGAATTACAGGATTTACTATCTTACTATAAATCCATAACCGGCCGACACGCGTACCGGCAATCACAATGACAGAACTTGACGCAGTTGGGTAGAAAATCTTCACCTGTTTATCGATTCGTTTTCGCGAAAACTATCTTATCGTAACGGAAGTCACCCACGGTCATGATATGCACAGGTGTTTTTGTGTTTATACTGTTCAAATATTTGCTTCGTTGACAGAGTGATTACAGATTTTCTGTCTCTAAAATGATAATTTAATGTCAATGATTGACTGATTATGCCCATTTTAAGTGGATAACAACATCGAAATGTGTATATTGACGTTAAAAAATAACTCTAAAGACAAAAAGAAAAAATCGATTTAGGGTAATCATAGTTGGGATATTTGACATTACATGTTTACATTGTTAATCTGTTATTTATTGTTATAGTTATTGCCCTAGATGTTTCTAAATAAATTCAAATAATTCAGAATTACCTAAATCTGTTATATTTTTGTGTCACTTTTCGATATGTTACAAATAAGTAAGCATGTCAAAGTAACTACCCATATATATATATATACTACAGATGTCATTCGCTATCAAAGGAGAATCGTGTTACACTAAGGTAGGATACACCCTTAATATAACAATTGTAGGTAATGATTTTGCCGGTACTAGTATGCGTAATAATGCAGTTATGCACTGCACTACCTACAACAATGTAATCACCTGTACACAAATCTCACCAAAGAACACGTTTTGTACAGACTAAGAGGCAGTAATGCTGTTGATGGTATGACAAATGTTGCTTGATTTTTTATATACGTACATCACATCCTTGTATCTCTGGATCGATTGTTTCAAAAGAGAAGGATGATGTCCTACATAACTTACACCAATAGATTACACACCTATCATATTTCACCAGAAATCAGTTCCAGGCTATATTAGTTTGAATGCAGGTAAAATTAACTAACAAGAATTTCACGTAAATGTAAGTCTCGTGTGGCCCAACATGTCAATATCATCATTGTACATTCTGCTTCTGCCAATTAACTGCCTCCTTAGGAACGTCGAAGAATATGCAGTGTTTACTAGATGTTATGTATCAAACAAAGTCTAACACCGAGATAAACTGTTAAAGCTTCAGGTGTGCCTGGACTGGTTTTGTCATGTGGCCGGGCATTCCAATCTTGGACAGTTCTCAGGAAGAAAGACATTTTTCTAAAGTTTATATTACAGTGTGGTACTTGATAGACCTTGATTGTCGTGGTATTGTCGCATTCTTCTTGTTGGTCTGTCGAAGCTGTCCGTCTTGGAGACTGGCAACGGTTGATCTTACAGTGTGTCTAGCATCCCGTTTGCTGTCCTCTTATGCTCTCCAACCAAGACGTTGGATAATGGTACTGAAGCTTGATCTTGCTGACTTTTGTTGTACGTTCACTCTCCAGCTTCATGATATCTGTCATTCTGTCATACCAGAGTTACTTCCCTTCGTTTCAATCCGTCACTATACAATCGATGGGGGTCGAGGATGGAAATAGTTGGTGAAGAGGCTCCCGCATGCATACCCTACTAGCTGACGGACTGACGTCTTATATGTCTGCTCGTTGAATGATAGATCTTCCAATTTCTGAAACTGGTTGTCCTATTTGCCTTGTTTGTGTCGAAATTGGTACGTTGACTCCAGTTTTATTTGTCGGTGTTTCACTGCTGCAAGTGTTATTCACTGAATGGTGTACTCTGCAACGATGGTCTAACGCTCGTTAGTGAGGATGAGAACTGTACCTTTTGCTGAATGGAACTGCATGCACCAGTCTTCCACCCATATGCATGCAAGTTTGTCAAGGTCGTAATCTTCCCGGAGGTGCTCAGCATCGTCCTCGGAGTTCACTCGATAAGTCTCTTGTTCCTTCAGTAGAGTCAATTTTGATCTAGCTGATCATCTTTCCCTGGATGCCGTACTGGTGTATATTGTTGTCGGAGGTTGTGGTTGACTTTGTCGAGACCTTTGACAAAATATATGATGAACACGGCTGTTTGAAGGCCTCCCAGTAGATTTCTGGCGCAAACATCGATAACCTCGATCATTTGTGTCTCACAGGATATGTTCTTCCTGAAACTGTGCAGTAGCTGGTGTAGGATGTTATCCTCTCTGTGTCGCATGATACTGCTTGCCAACACGCGTTCCATTAGACTGCGCATACTTTGCAGACAGGTATGACATTCGATTTACGACAGTCTTGCTATTCACAGCTGGTATGTAGATTTCTGTATTTCTTGCTGGAGTAGGGGTGTAGGCTCGCTGCTAATTTCCTTCCAAAGTCTAACTGGAAGATTGTCCGTTGCGAAGGCTTTGTCTGGATTGAAGGTTTTTTAGAGGTTTAGTTGCCGTCTGACATAATGAGATAATCAACATCGGGCATCATGTGTCTGCGAACTCTGAGTGACTGTGTTCTTGATTCGTCCTTTTGGTGTTTGGTATGATTCCAGAATTTCTTCATTCCAGATCCATCAATCGAAGTCATCTGGTGTTACGATTCCTTCAGCAGGTGATGTTTGAGTTTCTTGTGAGCTTCCTTGGTGCCGGGGTCACTAGACGTTTTCATTCATTTGTAGAGTCATTGTTGACGACTTGCCTTTATCGTTTAGTTCTGTGTCTGTCAAAGGGTGTCCGTTTAGGCTTTTTGCTATTGGGGATGCTGTAAAGTTGGATTGTAGGATTAAGCAAACAAAAATGTTATATCTAATATACTAATGTATAATTAGGAAAGCACAATTAACAAACTGAAAGTGGAATTAATACTCTGAAATGCGTGTTGAAGATGGTCATACATAGATATATAATGTATTAAGTATCGGCTAGGTTTGGTTACGACAATTAGAATCAAATTAAGTTTAATGCCAAGCTAAACGCAGGTTTGATCATTGACTGCAAAGTATAGGATAAACTCAAAATTGGAACATATGCTGAAATGTTCTTATTTGTATAAAAGAATAAAATACGTTTGGCGTTCATAGCACTTAAAATCATTTAAGAATTTAAAGTGTAATTCGGAAAACTAACGATAAACACAACATCTTGTTCGTGACACGTCGCAAGCGAATTTGAAAGAGATTAGAACCAGGACAAGAATTAAGAACTACTCATTTTCCCTTCGTTCCAGAAAGTAAATGACATGTCAAATACAATTTCTATATACAACTGGTTTTTCAGAGGAAACGACATGAGATTTTAAAAGCATCCGTCACATTGTAATATTCACTTGAATAAGAAAACTATATAGACATGTAGTTATTTATTTGTAAATTTGATAGGTGTTGATTGACGAGGGCGAACACCAGTTCCGGTTCCAGTTGTTTATTCTGTTTATCTAATTATAAAGACCCTACAACATAGCACACATAAAGCACATAAGCACGATCCCTTATGATACATATCAATACATTAAATATCACACATAATGTACATTATAGATCATATCACAGCTGTCATTATCTCAAAAGGGATTTTACTATACACAATGTATATCTGCTTGTAGTATATGGATACAAACGGGTAATACTTTGTAAATATAAAAAAAAGGAATATAGCGATGCACTATAGCCACGTACGTTATACATTATTAAACTGCATTTAATAGAACGTTATGCTACAAACAATATGCAGAGTGAAAACCTACCCCTACAATGGGTCAAGGGTCCTAAAGTAACATAGGGCTCATTAATCACCTGAATATCATCAGGATCGTAGACGATCAACTGTAATAAAAACGCATATATAAGTAATAAAACAGTACGGGTCATTGAATATTTGTTTTGCATAAAACTACACAAGATCGACGATATTATTGGCGTACACAATACACGCGGATTTTGATAAATAATTATCAACATCATTACAAATGATGTTACACAAGATATATAACACCATTATCGATCTTTCAAAGCAATATATAAAATATAACTTACAATTTACGGGACAAATGCCTCAAATGTCGAACGGAGGTTTGAAACGTCCGTACTGGTCAACGTCCCCTTTGTCCACTAAAAAACCCGCCAAATACAGACAAAGACCAAAGAAAGAAAACGAGACAATAACTGTACATACGTAGACACACTACGTCACATAGGTAAACTGGACATATAGACGCAACATATATACATACATCTTAACGATAACAGACGACGCGAAAATTCAAACGACGCGACGCTAAACAACGGCGGCCAAAATTATCTAAAAACCGACCCTATTACATATTAGGAGAATACTTTTGACACGTTTGACTGAACATGTTTAATTTCTTACATTTAATGAAGACTAAAACCATTCATTTGCATGATTCCAATACTTTTTAGATGTCATTCTTTGAAAGACTAGTGTCAAATTTATTCTCTGGCTTTGTTTTTCTAGAGAACTTGTCTGAAACATGACGATAATGAAAATCGGACAGATGCTGTACCATAGGAAAAAGGTAAGTTCACAAGCACGTTTTACCTGATGAATAGATCTATGTAGTATACAGTCAAACCTCCCTTAGGTCACTTTTCTACAAATGTTAGTTTTTTCCGTTTGGATGACCTTTATCGACAGGTTTGAGTGTACTTTTCCCAAGACCTCATTATTATTTCATTCAAATCCTAAAGATTGATGTTTAATACTTATCTTGTCCATTTGCACTTCAAAAATTCATAGGGTGATTAGGCTAAGTGTAATTGAAAGACACATGAAGATAAATTTCTAATTTATTGTAATATAAAAAAATTATGATAAAAGATCTAAATACATTACAAGGAATTATTATATCAAATACATGTTATGTACAGTAAAGTATGGCACCAAGTAGAAATTTTTAAAAAGTTTTATATTAACCAGAAACATTCTACAACAAATAACATAAAACTTGTACACTGCACTATTCTGTTGTACAAGTAAGTTATATAACATTGACCATGAGGGTTTTTATTTTAACAATCACCTGTCAATTCATCTCTCTGTAATAAGCTATAGTTGCTATCATCAATAACAAAAAACAGAATGTATGGATACCAGATAAAGACAGATGGAAATAGGTAACTTGAACAAAATACTCAGGTGACTTCAAAAAATCGAAATGTGCATAGAAACGAAAGATAAGAACAACAGTCAATAGGGTAGAATTAACTCTAGGAGGGAGAGTAAACATTCTCTAATACGTGGTATTATCTCTTGTTATAAAATAGAAAAATATTGAGCAAGGTACTATTGATTTTATAAGAAAAAGCACACTAATGTTCACCTGTGTTATGGAATGCTGCCCATGTATTGTTGGTAAATTTGTATAATCAATAAATATACTTATCATACTTTCAGGTAGATATGCATTTTACACATCTTGTGAGGCTTTTGTATAAAGCTTGTCCTGATTTTTTTCTAACTGTGTGATGATAACGAGGCTGTCTCTTGCACGTGTTGCTAAACTCAGAATGTACTTATTGAAGTCTGCATGGTCATCATTCACTCGTGGATTCACTCCTATAATAGTTGATCGATCCATGCCACTAAACCCCTTCACAGTATCCAAGGTAATGGGATCTTTGATCCCTGACCTCTCCACAAAACTTTTAACAGATGGAGTCATTACTTCTTTATCCTTACGCCTGCCAACCAGTATAGCAACATCCTGTATATCCACACCTTTTCCGAGAACAGATGACAAGACCTTAGCGACAGTATCATTCACTTCACTGGAGTTACAATACACAATGTCAACATTGTGTCCAGAGCAATATCCATGACCAAGTTTTGGAAGACATTCAACCTTTTTAAGACTGTCAACTTTAATGTTTGCATTTTGTTTTTCTTCAGGATCCATAAAAGTCATAGCGTAATCAAATATTTCCTTTGAATTTCTTGAAACCTCACTCAACATGAAGTTGTTTTTACCAACAATTGAAGGTAGGCCAGCTTCAAATTTGTGAACTTTTTGGGAATAGTCCATGAAAACCCAGAAATACCCATCAGGAGCAAATTTGCTTTTCATGTCCATGCTTTGGCCCTGATTGACGAGTTCATCGGTCAACTTATACCAATCTCCATCTCTTGCTTTGAAGTTCTGTGCTTCATCCACGATGACATTTTTAATACAACTAAAAGCTTTCTTTGAGGCACCATGCTTGTTTTCCACTGTTTGGATTTTCTTCAAAAACTCCCGTCTGGTGCAGACCTCACAAATATTGAATGACCTGAAAATGATATTCTTTAATCAATATTTTGATATAATAATTATTTGGTGCATATCTCCAGGTAACTGTAAATAATTTTTTCTTAGATACCTAATTGAGTAATTTAAAAATTAATGATCATATTCAATGATATCATACTATCTTAATCAGTAAAACAAATACACCAAAAAATACAATGATATTCAGGTAAAAATGTTTTAAAACATGTATATAAACAAGTTTGACGACATGGAGAATACTAATAAAGTACAAATGCATTGACAAAGGTTTACATGGTGGGTGTTGTCAATGAAGCAGAAGACGCTTACCCTTTCAGAACACATCATCCTATACTCTTTGTACTTTTTCAGGTGTCACTGTGAATCTTTCTTTTGTCCAAATTTTGCCTTCATTTTATCAAATTGGATTTTGGATTATGATTATGTTGACAATGTTGAAACAGTGATACCTAGTTTGGGCTTCAAAACAGTAAATTTTGGGTAAAATATATTACAATTATGATACTTATCAACTACTTCATGCCAGAAAACTTGGTCTATTATTTTCTGTTTCACCATACCTTACATATGAACACAGCATTTCATTTTCAGCTAGGTAAAGGACTTCCTGCTGTCCACTGCCCCTTCGTCGGAGTTCCTGAATCAATTGAACAGCTGCCACTGTTTTGCCTGCCCCTGGCGGCCCATGTATCCACAGTTCTTTGGTGAACTGCTGGCTCCAAAACAGGTCGAACTGGTCACTTGTCAGGAGGAAAAAGTACGACATGTTGGCTAATACCTCTTCCCTATTGCCTGCTGCCAGTGTAGTGAAGTCCACAGGTTTGTAGGCTGCCATACAAACAATAAGAGACCCGATAAGGTTATTAAACTTGTAAGGGTTCATGTTGAAATGTGAGGGATAAAGATCTTCTTCATCTAAAATGTCAGAATTTTTTGTGCAGCTCGAGTATAGATGACTAGTATTTTCTTTGACAGGTATAACTTGACAAATAACCCCAAATTTATCTGTACAGCCTCCATGTAGAACCAGTCGGCTTTTCAGGAATGCAGCAACTGAAGAAGCGTATTCTCGTGTCCTACAGTTTACAACATCTGAGAAGGTGAGGAGGTGACACCCATGAGACTCGCTTATGATTAAGACATCACACAGAACACATTTCGGTGGAGGTAATGTCACTTGGAGACCCCAGCAGTTTACAACAATACAGATCCGATCAATGTCTCTGTACTGCTCTAATGTATCTCGGACAAACTCCTTCTTATGGGCAGCAGATATAATATCCAAGGCATGTCTTGGCTGTATCCATTCAATCTTGCTTTCTGGAAATATAAATTTGCAACTATAAGTTATTTAAGACTCAGTGTAACATATAAATATATTTCACAACAATATTTTCAAAAAATCGAAGTCATAGAACAAGGTTCAAACATGAAAATAAACTTTCTCAATGTTATTTCCGAATTTAACATTTTATCTCCTATGCTCAGATTGATTCAACATTGTCTTTTATAAGTCATTAAACAGCAAGTTATATGTACATTTTCAGGAAAAAAGTCAATAGTAGCCCTATTTCTTAGATCAAAGCTACATTCAAATTCTGACATTACTGACAAAAGGAAATTATTTGTCCATACAACAATAGGGATTACAGTGTTCATTTTGAATATTTCTTATATATTCAAAGGATAAAGAAATGCCTTTACTTTGAAGATGATTCTAAGCAAGAATAATGTTCAATATTTTTAAGTAAGAATGAAGATGAATCCATACAGAACAAACAGCAAAATCAACGATTTGTATCTGGTAAGTGATTGATGAATAACTGAAGGGAATTGAAAGAGAACTCTGTAATCTGAAATCCAAATGGACTGAATGTGGGAGCTGGCTAGTCAATACTGGATATATCCCCCATTCACTCTCTCTACAGCCCTGATTGTCCTTGGCATGGAGTTCATGAAGGAGTTTGTCCTCCTTACTGGGATGTTGGCCCATTCTTCCAAGAGGACTGATCTCTGTTGTACCAGAGTAATAGGCGGAGGCAGGCATCCTTGAACCCTGTCTATCCAGCTGGTGCCACTTGTACTCAATAGGGGAAAGGTTGGGGCAGTATGATGACCAGTCCAGTGGGTGGATATTGTTGTTGTCAAGTTGCGACAGATCCTCACTACATGGGGCCAAGCATTATTCTGCTTGAATGTGAGGTTGTTTTGCTGCAATAATGGGACAACCTGGGGTCAGAGGATCTCATCTCTATACCTAGCAGCACTTAAATTACCTGCTACCACAACCAGTAGTGATTTAACTCCATGTGAGATTCCTCCCCAAAGCTATCCATTTTTACTATGCAACAGTTGGCAAAACATCCTCCACAACATCATGTACAAATCGTCGAACATCTGCTCGAAACAGGGTGAACTGGGACTCATCAGTAAACAAGACCCATCTCCACAGCCTCAATGGGAATATCCTGGGGGCATGTGCTGCCACCTAAGCTATACAACGATGGCAACAAGCAGCGGTAAGAGGCAGACCTACAAACAGATAACGAGCCTGCAGACCAACTTCCCGCAATTGTTTCCTTACAGTTTTTACATGAATAGGATGGTAATGAGTACCTATGGTATGAAAGGCAGATTCAGTGGCAGTAAAGTGCCGAGTGTGCGAATGCGCAAGATGAATTTACCTGTCCTGACGTTGTGACATCACAAGCAGATGCCCAGACCTAAGCCTGTCAGCAGCAAGCCCAGTTAACCTTACTCATCTAACAAGATGTACTGTAGTGCAAATATGGACACTGAAATGTCTAGCAACCTGTATTTGCTTTTGTCCTTGCATAATCATCGCCATGGCCTGACCCTTCTGAACTTCTGTCAGCTGTGCCATTGTTAAATGCTGTCAGAAATTAATCAAAATATAGGAAAATGATGTGTCTCCATGAAGACTACCTAATGGTATGGTGAGCAGTGTGACAACTTTGCTGTTCATAAGATTTTCCGATTTTGTGCTTTCCCCAGAAGACATTGTTATGCAATATAATAATGCCACATTCGATACAGGACCACATGCACTGTAACCTAGAGAGTTGCTTGACCAATTTTCACACGATATTGCAAATAGTGTCACCCTGCGTTTCTTTATCCCTCTAGTATATGTAGTTACAGGGGAGATCCATGGGAAAAAGTACATGAAAACTTACTTTGGAGCAATTTGTTTCTGATGGCCTCAACAGTATGTTGCAATGTAAATACCAGTGGGGCCTGAGGTACATTTAAGTCAAGCTTGACAAATCTGTTGTGTAGCTCAGGTTTGTCTGTAAATGAATAATATTCATGGTAAATGAACTTATATAAATATTGTATCACAGAGTAAATACACACACATCTACAAAGTATGAAATATGGAAATTAAGGCTTCTCAATATCCAAGAACAATTTTTTCTACTACTGTGATCTAGTACCTGAAGTACAATTTTGGGGCTCAATATGATTACCGTTGTTAGGTAAACAATGAGACAGTATGGGTACATAACACTGTGACTACTTAATTATCTCGGGATTTCTGTGATTACCCATTCTACATATAAGTGGCAGTTATTTTTTAGTTTCTCATCTATAAAGTATATATACAACAGCGTCAATGTAGACATAAATTGTTTTTATTCTTAAACTTGTATATGAAATGTAAAACATTCCTAAGATAACAATAAGTATACAGTTAAATATTGATCAACGCTTCACAATAAGTAAAAGGGAAAGGTTTGGTTTGGTTTCCTATCACTGAACATCCTATTAACAGCTCATTCAAATGTAGTCTCACAGTATCATTTGGGATGAGGCCATGTATGTCAGGAGGTTGTGATATATTTGTGTAAACCTCCTAGTGATAATATGGAAATGAAGCTGAATTATAGTTTTATCAGAATGAAGTATACTGCCAAAAGCCCTCTGTAGAACATTCTGTCAGATTATACTGACAATAAGCAAACCAGTGGTTACTCTACCAAAATATTGAGCATTAAACAGGCAGTTGTAACTACCAGTAAATCTCAAGTATGTCTCAGCCAGGGGACAGAACCCAAATTATCTTGAGTTCATTTTCATAAAATATAAAAGGAATCTATTTGTGAGTGTTTTACAAACACGTAGTAAAAAAACTATATACACGTATAAGATATCATATCAAAATAATACACATAATTATGTATAAAGAATATATTCTAAGTAATGTTTATAAAGATTCATAAATTTAAAGAATGTAAAGATAAACTTACATCTTACATGGATAAAAAGATACCTCTGTGAGAAGAAAAATTCATGGAAAATAAAAATTATCTTACCTCTGTGAGAAGATAGAAGTGCTTGTTTCCACAACTTAAATGACCAAGCCTCAACACCTCCGTAGTCATTAACATAATAGCTCTCTGGTACTGATGTGAACACTCCACCAGGAAACTTACACACAGACACCACAACCACCATTCGCCGACCCTCAAGTAACAAGACAAAAGTTTACACATTTATTATAAAAGCTAGAAGTACAGCAATTAATAGTTATGACAGAAGGAAAAGAGCAAGTCTATACAGTGGTCTGTATGTGAGGTGGATGTTATGTTGTAATGTGCTGTCTTGGCATAGCCTCTGAAAGCTGATCCTTACATCTGAATGGGTCTGTGTCTTGTTCTGGTCGGTATAAGTTATACATCCCTACAGTAACCATTGTCATATGACAGGGGCTCATTGTATATATGGCAACATGTATTCTACACTCTGTATTTCCTATTCTTCTATAATAAAATATAATGGAATGCTACATGTGAGTTGTTATTTGTTCTCTGAACCCCCACACAGGATGTAGCTTACTCTTGTGTCATATAGGGTTTGTTCTACTACACAAGTACATAAGTATGTGGACAAAATGACAGAATGTCTTAAAGACAGGTAGAGGAACAGAAAAAGAAGACACTAATACTACCTTCACTGTTACATAAAAGTCAAGTGTGAAAAATTGATTAATTTCTATTTGATTACCATCGGTCTTGGGGATCCCTGAACAGGGAAAAACTGAATATCCCAATGTTTGCCTCTGATTGGTTGAAATTCAGTACTGCCCCAAATAACTGGCTGCATCTTTGCAACCATCAGGTCAACTGTAAAAAATAATAAGTGGACTCTGTATAAAGATTATTAGAAAACAATGCTTGATAAAAATCAAGAAACATTTCCATTTTAAAACAGCGATTTCCAATTTAGTAGTAGTAATGAAATTTTCTAAGTTCTTATTTTACACCATCAATTAACTCATTCCTTGATGTATTCTTTAAACAGAATTTTTTCAACACTGTAAGTAAGTGTCACATTACTAACATTACTAAGTATTTTGGTCTCCATGTACACTTCAAATATATAAACTCTTGTACAAGGTTTAGCCAGGGAAATGGCTGGACAGTGGTATATATAACTTATATTCCATTACATCAATTAATTTACCACCCGTTTTTAGTTATTTAACACCATGCTCTATGACTTATTACAATTTTTGAAATGCTACACATTACAATGATGACTTAGGTTTTGCTGCAATACCAGTGTGCCAGGCAACTCACCTGTTCCTGTAATCTGACTGTCCTTGCTGCCTTATGTATATCTGTAACTTACATGGCACTTAATGAACTCATTTCATTTTTTTTTCTTCACTAGTTTCTAACAACTCATTGATCTATGCTTTCACTCCCTTGAATTTTTCTAACCCTGGAAAATACAAGCCTTGATATACCACTCAGCTATAGAGAACTTCTCTTCAGCTTGATCGGTTGAGCTTCAGACTAGCAATCACAGGTCCTGGGTTGGAATCTAGCAGAGGCATTGAAATAAAAAAATTACCTCTGTCACACTGTCACCAAAGCGGGAACTTGAAAATAGTACTTAGCCATGCCCCATAAGCATTGCTGTAACCCCTGGAAAACTCAAGGACAAGTTTTTTTTCCAGAAGGAGAAAAAAGTAATGACCACTGTAACAGAATTAAACTTATGTACCTACCTGTCCTCTTCTGCTCCTCCTCAGAAAGTTCTTCTCCAAGCACTGCAGCCTTGACATCTTCTATCCCAAAGTAAATATGGCCACCCTCGTGGTTTGCGAATGCAGAAATGTACCTGGTAACTGTGTACTTTATCTTGGAAGGAAGGGATTTTCCATCTCTACTACTGGGAGCTGACAATTGTTTAAACTGAATCTGTTTTGTCTCTTGTTTTAAGAATTCATGTGTCTCTCCATAGCAATATTCTGTTGGAATATGTGGGAGATCACATAGGTCACTTGGTTCACCAGAGGCTTTGAGAAGCTTCATGGTTGAGTGATATGATACTTCATGCGTAGCTGTGTCTGTTGGCAGTCTACAGTAGTAGTCCAAAGTACAGAGATGCTCAGCAGTTTTAACAAACAGATACAAATCTTTATCATCATAGTTGCCTACCATATCAAAATAATTACAAATGTCATCCCCTGATATAATGTCTGCCATTTTATTTTCCATAGCACTCCACCATGTATCCAAGTCTTTTGGCTGAACCTTGGTGTCATAGTCCTGATTCTGCATGTGTAGGATACCCCCGCCAGAGTTAAGTAGGGCGCATATGTACTTGAGGACTGATCCATTTTCAGAGTCTCTGATATTCTTGGAAATGTGGACTGCACAATGAAGTACTGTTTCGCCATATTTTTGCAGATTTCTTGTACTGAAAAAATATTGTTGAATTTTAATATAAATCTTAAGGTTTAATGTACTGGTATTTGTTCTAGATGCATATGGTCTATAGCCGTATTATCAATCTGTGGTTTAACTAAACTAAACAATGCAATATTCTATGCTGTACATGTACCATCTAAAATATGACTTAATAACAGCATTAAATGCATATACATTTATAAAGATGGCCCTGCTTGATTTGTTATCGTGCTAATCAAGAAAAAAAAATAAAAACTTTGTTCGGGCAATAAAGATACAGCCCTATCTAATTTTCATCCTATCCTATACTAACCCCTCTAAAAATTAATGGAATTCGTTAAAACTCCAAAATGCACAAACATGGAAACACTTCCACAATCTCCAGATGTCAGGCATGTTTTCTAATGATTTGAAATGGATGATGCCAGTTTACAAGTAGATTTGGGGTTTATCATGTTTTTTTACTTGATATTGATACAATAGATACGTGTTTTTAACAGGAAATAATAATGAATATACAGAACCACAAAAGTGACTGAAAATCCAATCTAAAATAACTATTGTGTAGTGAAACATGCACTGGGAGACAGGAATGCCCTTTTGATTTCATACAAAATTTAACTGGTTAAGAGAACTAGACATGAAGGACTATCATTATAATATCAATTAATATCCCACAAGTAGCTAGCTATATGATACATTTTAATCAACTGAAACAGGAGTTACTATGTTTATATTTAACAAACTCAAATTTCCCAAAAACTGTCCTAGGTTTGCAGTTGTATTTTCTGAATTTCTGAGTACGATCATTTTAATTAGATCAAATCGTGTAGTTCCTTCTGTTTATTTTCAATGAAATTCCTGAAAACAATTTAGGTGCTTTTCATTTTCTAGGCTACTATAAATTATTTGATGACTTAAACACAAACTCTGTTAGTGATATATGATCGATGATTCATAAAATTTAACTCTTGTATGTAATTGTTTTGTAGTTTAGTTTATGGACATGAATACAAAGCTCACATTTCCTCTGCAGACAAGGCTGAGGTTCCACTGTGTTTCCTCTTTCTCCTTCCTTTTTCAGTGTCTCTGAGGTGTCTAGGATTGTTCAGTCCATCGCCTGTGTCCATGTCAAACTCCATTTTACATAGCAGTCTTTAGTGATTAGTTTATATAGTCAAAGGATGACATCTTTTCTTTAAATTTTCCAAAAGGCTTTCAACTAAAAAACAAGCAATACATCTCTCTCACATGTCTTAATGAATTATGTATACAGGTATTATAATGTACCTGTTATAAACAAATAAAAATTATTACTTCCATAAAAAAAAGAAGAGTAGAACTTGTTTGATCTGCCAATAAGTTAAACTAGTCTGAAAAATTCTAACTAAAATAGTGAAAAGACAGTCATAACTACCAATAAGTTTAATAAAGATATTATATAGATATAAAGAACACAAGAGTACTATAATCTTGTCTGTCATTTAAAACTTTTTTAATGTAATTATAAATCACAACAGGCAAATTAAAAGAAGCAAGATTCATCAAACTATCAATTTGCATTACTACGACTTTATTGTCATTTAGGATTTCATATATTACATTACATCCGTAAAATGGGAGTCCATTAAGGGAAATAACTCTAAAATCTAACCAATATCAATGTTATTTACATGTAGGTCGGCGACTCTAAGATCGAGTTTCATAGTATTAGATAAACTGATAAACTAAGAACTTCAACATATCTCCAACCCGAACGAATTCCCTCTTAATCGGACACCAAATATTAGCGGAACCACATAAGTGTACTTTGTACATACGTAACGGCACCCTTTGACACCATTGTAACGCTATACAGACACAGGTACTAGCCTCGTCTGTTAATACACTCATACTTATAATAAGTGCATTGACAGACGAATCTGGTGCATGTGTTACATGTACAGTACACTTGTAAGTCATGATCAAGATGACCATAATAACCACAAAATGACATAGGCCCATCCCAAAAACTGATCACGACATACATGTATGTTAAAAGATATTGCGTTTATACAGCATCTGAACCACTCCCATATGGACTCTGCCAATTTATCGCATACAAATCTAGAAATTATCTATGATCACAAGATACAAGTATTCTTTTGCGAGATGGCCATCGTCTGGTGTATCTTAAGCGCTTAGGTGACTAGATAATCTAGGTTACGGAAAAGTTTGTTGCATATTTTTTTGAGAGCTTCTTGTGTTTTAGCTTGGGCTTAAATATAGATCTCTTAAAGTCCGTGGTTTTAGTGACAGTTTGACCAGGCTGATTCATTTATGAAGTAAGGGCGGACTCTCTGATCTTATTTTATCCCCGATGAGCTTCGATTTAACCTTCCGTGGCCGGCATTAATAGTTACATGTACAGGTTGTTCTCTATTAGTATTGAAGGGCATGGATATGATTTTCCACAATTTTAGCTCATATAACGACACGGTAGCTGTAATTCGCAAGATGCTCTTGATGGTCCTCCTCTAGATGTTTTCATAACTTCAATTTTGTTAAGCACCGGACTCCAAATACACGATGCGTATTCCAAATGAGGTCTAATCAGGGTTTTGTACAGACATATGAACATATCTTTGTTAATAGAAGTGAACGTTTTGAACATGAGGCCGACTATTCTATTAGTTTTTGAGACACAATTGTACACATGTTGACTGAATTTTGGTTTTTCATCAAAGGTTATTCCCAGGTCAGGCAATTATTTTTTCTACGACTTGATTAGATATATTTTCTCTTTTTTATTTTACATTGCCAACTTTTGTTTTCAAATATAAAGATACAATTTCAAATCATGAACACATTTTCCTGAAAATTTCTGCAGTGATCTTTCAAATACAAATTCCAAATACCCCTCGAACTCCAAGACAGACGTCATTAGACAATATGGGATGTGATGACTAGTTTATCAAGGAACACAGATAAATTCCTCATATTTCATTTGTAAGCTCTGATAACATTGTGTATCTCGGATGGAAAATTTACATATGAGATTGTCTACTAACAATTCGTCTTAATGTACATGTCTGCATGCATATAACAGAGACAGCCCCACCTTTATCTTTATTTCTGGGACCTGACTCGGGTCTCAATACATGTATCATTGTGACAATTTGAATTTTTTTGCTTTGGGCAATGTCAACTTTTTTCTCTCTGTAATTGGTTATGATAGCCGTTTAAAGCAAAACATTACATGGTATTTGACACAGTTGATGGTTTAAGGATAATCTACATGCTAATATATCAATTGTCTGTAATGTGGCATTTGGAAGTACAGTCAAACTTCTATGAATCAAACTTTGGTGATTCAAATTTCTTGATATATTGAAGTTTTTATCTGGTCCTAAATTTTATTCCTAAATATTACTACTAACCACAATGATTCCAAGTTTGATGTACATCAAACAAAGCTCGAGGTTGTATAACTGTATATTGCAACAACTTTGAAGTTGGGTGTCGCTGCTTTGTAATATTCGAAAGGAGCGTATCAGTTTGATTGGTCTGTATTTTCTGATGGAACCAATCAAATTACTTCGCTTGTGCCTTCAATTTTGCCTGGACATGTCCCAGGGGACAAGAGTGAGAAAGTCATTGTAACCCCTGGAATATCGAAAATAATGACCTTAACCCTAGACGCTACATGTAGCTGCAGAATCCCTCTAGTACTGTAGTACATGTGTTCTCATGACCTCTAAAGTTTTTAAGAAGTGCAGTATACACCTATGTCTACAATACTCTTTAGAGACATGGGTATAAAAACAAGAGATCCCAGAGGGATCTTGGCGCCCACCATTTGAGGATCTGTTTTCAGTTCTTGAAGATTTGTTTATTTTTTTTTTTATTTTTTTTATTACAGGTGTTGTAAATGTTCATGAACTGGTCTTCATTGAATGTACTCAATGATGGCACAAGATATTTCTGTAGGGATATAGTGATAAAATGAACACCCTTTATTAAGTTGTATACTCATTAAATTCAAAATGGATGATGATGGTGATGATGATGATGAAATGATGCACATGTACAAGAACGCAAAAAGTATAATAAAAGTTCAAAGTTTTTTAAAACTATTTTTGTTTTTTAAATTTTAAATTTTATATTTTATTTTGTTACATTAATGTTTTTGTAACACCAACACTTAAATGTTAGGAATTATTGACATTTTTAATAAATCAATTCTTCTGTTACTTCTCATGTGTCAACCCATATGCCATTAACTCAATTCATTGCATGGTTTATTATACATACCCAAAACAGTGTACTTATCAATGTTTACTTAATTTAGAAAATCTGATCCATTACATTATATCAAGTAAAGATCCATCCAGTACTTTACCAGAAATAGCGGTAACAAGAATTGTTTACGGACAGACGGAGGGACGGACGGACCACGGACGCAGGGCGATCTGAAAACCCCACCATCTGATGATGGTGGGCTAAAAAGAGTTGACACCAAACGACTTACCTAAGACATTTATATTGAGTTTAACAGGCCCTGGTCCTTTGAACAAGATGTGTGAGTAAAAAAGACAAAGACAAGTTTGATTGATTTCATGATTATCATATTAGAAAAACAACATCAAAGCAATGACACATATATAGTATGTTACATACCTGATGCAAGAAGACCTTGAACATTGATGTGAGTTGTGTGTCTTCATTACAAGCACATTTACATTAAATTACTCCTTTTATCTTAATAACATCATATTACATCAATATTCCTGTTATACTACCTGAAAACAGGACATGTTTAAATGATTTCACAATTATCCTATTTAAAAAAAAAAACATTAAAGTAAAAAGAATATTACATATAAGTATAATTCATAATTTAGACAGAGACTTGGTGACCTTGATCAATGGATTCATGAGTTGCAGATGTCAATGTGCTATCATTTATACTAATCACACATTAACATTCAATAGATAACACACTTTATCTGGAAAATATATAACACAAATGAAATTTCATTTCATATGAGACTTTATGAAAAGAGTCTTGGAAGCTCTTATTTTTGCAAGCCTTGACAAGCAAAAATTGAAACTTCCACACAAGTTTTATAAAATCTAATATGAAATGAACCTTTTAAGATACTTTTTATCACATTTGCCAGAAAGTTGAATTTTGACAGGTTTTAAGGTCAAAATGTGGATGACAAATCAAAGAACAGTCATTTTCTTGCACTATTTTCAATTACTGATGTAACATCACTGTTTTTTTTAAAATGTATTTCAATCAACTTCTGACAGAGAAAAAAATACTCCACAGTATATTTTTATAGGGACATATACAAAAAATATTACATGGGCGAGTTTACTAGATTAAAGGCTGAAAATTTGATAAATAAATTATTTCAATTTGTCTACATGAAAGGGGGACATGTTGAATTGATTTAATCTAGGAAAATACAACGATAAATGTAAGTATATTACATAACTATGATAGAAGGCTGATGGGTGCCCCTGATCATCATCATGAGTGGTGATTGCTTGTGCGCTACAAGCATATTTACATTCAATAAATACATACTTTATCCAGATAACATCACTTCACATTACCTTTCTTCATGCTTTCCTCTCTGTTTTGCATTCAATATATTACAAAAGGTAGAAGTGTATTAGAAACACTAGTACAGAGCTATGAGTTACAAGCATAATTATTCCAAGCAAAACATCTAAATTAAAAAAAAATAATAATAGAAAGGAAAATATATATAAATTACTAGCAGTAAAGATAACGGTCATAAATCTATCTGTGGATTTTAAACTGTGTGTTAATTACTTGACCCTGTCTCATCAAAAATAGGATATGATAACCTTCATTTACTGGCTACCATACTTATAAACCAATTAGGTCATTTACAGGCTACCATACTTATAAACCAATCAGGTCATAAAATAATTGTTATATTCTATTGTTTACATCTTTGTTGTACAGAAAATAAATAAAATGCTATCATTTACATAGAAATCATGGAATTCATCAGATTAGGTAACTATTTTGAAATTTCTTTCAAAATACTCAGCATTAGGGTAGGTCGAAACAGACACGAATACATAATACACAAACATATTCATCAGTTTCAATTTTAAAGTAAAAAATATTCAGAAATCCTTTTCATATGTATGTCTGGTCGGTAATGCTATACAAGATAATTTATCTTTATGCGAGAAATATATTGTTTTCTTTTTCGTTCAATCATCTTGCTATCATTATGAAATGTATAATCAGAACAATAATCCACTTCACAATAGACATTACATATTTATCGGATGTACAATTTGGAAGGACTTCCTGTTCAAAACAATTTTTTTCTTTTATCTTAATGTGTCTATACTGAATTTTCCCATTTTGATAGCATTGTCATTATATATAAATATACAGGTCTACCATTAATCTTATAAATTTAAAATCAGATCTCTCAGATCTGTCATGTTGTTACAGGAAGTATAAAGTGCAATGATCTTAATTGTTAGTGATAAACATTTTAAATAACAGAAACAAATTATTTGTTTCTTTCACTACACACTAACTCTATCCTCCCATCTTTTGCTGCTTGTCACCAGCAGTATTTTTTGCATCTTAGATAAAAGTAAAAGAAAAACATCAATGTATGATTTTCCAAATTTCTTACTGAATATGCTGCTTTAACCCATATCATGATCTTATGCTATAATATCATTCTTTTCCTTTCATTTAGTCACCATCTCATTTATCGATCTGCCTTATCTCAAATTAACCAAAATGTAAAATATTCATCCTACCTCTCTGCCAACAAGAAACAGAATCAAATGAGTCTGTTTCCAAAACATGTCAAGTGAAATTCAAAAGACTGATACAACAGCAAATCCTTTTTGACAGAGAAAATTGTTTTGAATACATTCTGACATACAAAATCATACAATATTGATGAACCAATGCCAATAGTGGAACGTTTGAAGTGAATTGTCTCCCTTTAACAAAAACAAGCAGTAACATATTCAGTCCATCTCCATTTAATATACATAGCACAAGTACATAAAACAGGGGTAAAAATCATACAATAAACATTATATCACAAATTTAATATTTTTTATCACATATCAATATAATTTGACAACTACAATAAATGTACCAATATTTACTCAATGAAGCTTTTTTCAGGAGACATTTTTATAAGTAGCCCACATTTGTGAAGAGATTTAATATCAAGCTTTCTATTCCAAATACCGTTAAACATATATACAAATACATATAAACATGTACAAGTCAGTCACTGTACAATGTGTGATGTATATGTTCACATGTAAGAGTTATAACATCACTCAAGTCTCTCAGGAATTTTAACATTGATGATATAGTGTGAAAGTAGTGTAGTTCCAACCAGTAATGCTACAATGTACAGACATAGAGTATGGAATGCAAACCACAATGTACACATAGAAAGTTTCACTCTAAGTTATTTCTTAAAATTTCCATTTATTTAGTACTGCTTTTCGCACTCGTCTTAATTGTTGGTACTGAAAAATTGTTTCATAGCCAAAAGTCAAATATAACAAAATTTCCCATAATTACATTCATGTAAGTTGGGGATATTTAAGTCTCTAGTGCAAGACATCAATTAAATACCAACTTCATGTACTGGAAATTGACTTCCAAACTTGGATGATAAACAACTAATCTGACAAAGACATCGAGCATAATATAGCTATCTTTAATCTATATAAATGAAATGATGACCGTGTCAGGAGTACATCTCAATCTTGATTACGCTTTATTTCTGAACATAGAGAAATTCTGAAGTCATATCTTTTATGAAGAAGACAATCTGGTGGTTTGCTCTGTCATGCATTTTCTCTAATTATGGGTGTAAAACCCTCTTCAAATTTGAGAAAAAGGATGCCAATTTATGTAGTCCAAATTTCTTTGCTGTTGTCTGCACAATAGTTTACAATCTAGATTTTACTTTCAATTACTTGTGAAATTTGTCAATAGAAATTTGATCAGAAAATTTCTTGAAGAAATGTGCAAAAGAAAATATACCTATACCTGTACATGTGTAATCCGAAAGTGTGCAACGGTTTTACTCAGTTTTTATCAGCCAAGCATGGACTATGCTTTGGACCCCAAAAACAAATACAGCCCAAGTAAATTATAATGATGAAAGGCTGTATAAACAACTATAGCCATGTATCAAATGATAAGTATGATGCTGTATTATATCACATATCCATACGATAGGTTATGATTTGCGAAACAAACTTGAAACAATTACTTTATTTTGTTGAAAAGGCATGTATGCACCAGCATTTATCAAACAAATTTCTGTATTTTCAAATGATATTGTTGAACTTCTACCTGCCTTTCAATAGGTTCTAATACATTTTCAATGTATATGAACATAATCTGTGCTATTCACTCAGAAAAGATGTACCATTCAATGAAAAGACACAAGGAGTATGCTTCTACATAAACAATGAAATGGTAATGAAGGAAAGATCTGTCCATAATGTTTTCTCCATAATCTTGAATATCTCCAAAGCATTAATCAAGACCGAATTTGTCATCTGATTTACAAAGACTATAGCTTTCTTTACTAACATTAAGTAACCAGAATTCTATTATGTTTCTACAATTCAGAAGACGCTATGAACTTCCAACGCTACCAATGCAGTGAGTTGTATATATGCCACAATGTCTTTTCTCAGAATGGCTCTGTCCATGAAACAAAAATCTTTCCTATCTGCAATACTGTATATCATATCACAAGTTTTCATCCTCTTCCATTGCTTTCATTAAGTACACATATTTCCAGCTGATTTTCAGTTAAGAGAAATAAACACATATTCATGTATGACTAGGAATGTTAAACAAACTCTGGAGAATTCAAAGAAATGATTGATGAAGACATACCACCCGGTATGAGAATAAGAAGCAAAGCCTGTACCACTCATTCAATTCCTTAATGGAATTATTCACTGATGCTTTACAACAAAGTAAATTGACTACCCTATTGATGTACATATACGCTCATTACCCATGACTAATAATTACAAAATAAATAAACCCAACAATATGTATGGCTATTTGAACTATTATTATCTCAATAAATGCTGTTTTGATAATAAACCTCCTTCACAGAATTCCTTGCTGCTATCAAGTTTGAATTTAGACAGTTTCTCCAATAAAAACTTTGAAGGCATTATTTTAAATCTCTTGGTGGTGGCATGAACCATTGAACAATTAATGACCGCAAGGAAAAGTCTACAAAGACTGACTATGACACACAAGATGATTACTTGGTATATAGCAAGACTTGTTAAATTGATGCTGGATGATATTTGATATAAAGGATACAACACGTAGTCCTCTCTCCACCGGATCCACCAATAACAAATCCCTTGGTAAATAAATAGTCTGGTTTTGTTCTTCTACAAATTTCTTGATTTTTTTCAACATCTGAATAAAGAAATCAGAAATAAAATTATTTGGTTTTGTTACAACAGCTATAATAATCTGTCTGTGATATTGTGCACATAGCATGTATCCAATGAAAGCTGCTTAAAGAAAGCAAACAGAATCAAGACTACAGAATACAATACTCTGAATATGATGTCTGTTGGTGATAAAAAAAGGATAAATTTTCTATAGAGTGGAAATTCATAACAGTTCAAAACATGTTGTCTACATAAGAGAATCAAAATTTTTAATTGCCATTGTATGTGTTTAAATATAGATTAAACAATCTGCCCTGGTTTCCAATATACAAAGGTGTAAAAATCTGTAATGTGTCCATTGTTTGAAAACAAGAGTGATCAGACAAAATCAATTACTATAAAAATTACTGATTAATGTACTAGTATACTATATTTTCCAGATTATAAGCTGCAACTTTTTCCTTGTGAGCCCAGTGTGCAGCTTATATACCCTGTGTGGTTTATATATGGACAAACAAAAAATTGGCTGAATTTTCAGCTTTTATGTTGGCGAGAAAACTTTTCTTTTAAATCGGAATGAAAAAAATATGTAGCATTCCAGTCAGAGACGGTACTGTTTTTTTTTTTTATTATTACCTGCTCACCATATCCTTTTGATTGAAACAGATCAAGTAGAGCCGTCACTTGTAATCATATACAGGATGATTTGAAGATTGTAATAAGAATAACGTTCTCATGGATTTAATTAAACATATCTCTTACCATGAATCACAATAATATCATCTTGATTTTCATGACTACTTCACAGCAATTACAAGATGACATGGCGGAAATTTACAATAAGTTATTGCACTCTGGGATCGATAGGTTATCAAGTGATAGGTCAAATTCTACAATGGCTGCAATATGAGTGGCTTTGTGTAAACCAATATTGAACATAAGATTTTTGTCAGCATGTAAGGGCCATTGTTAATATGCAACAGTACAGCACTGATGAAAATATTGTTTTGTAAACCATATGTAACATTCCTATATCTTTGAAGACCCAAAGCCAAATGACTTCAATATTTTCTATTTTCATGTATTTCGAAAGAACAGAATACTAATACATCAATGAAATAAAGGATTATTTGTGCATTTTTGACTGACCATCTTAATAAAATGCCTTCCATTTTCTGTTATAACAGCAAACTGGTTACCATACCGTAAGAAAAAGGTGCTGCTTATATGAAGATCAAAGAGAAAATTGATAAAAATTGACTCTGTGGCTGATATACCGGTGCAACTTATAACCTGGAAAATATGGTATGTATAATGTATAAATGAGCACAAATAATACTTTTTGAAATATAATAAATAAAAAGGAAACTCAACAACATAAGACTTGGTGTGAAAATTATCGACATGTTTTGGTTGCTCTGCGGTTGTCATCGAGACTGCAAAGTTCTACATTAGGAGTGTTGGATTACCATTTATTTATTATTTTTGAAATATAGTGACAACCCTGTTGTATCATCAAAATATTGCATGCTTCCATATCTCGAAAACTTCTTTGTTACAGAATCAAGTCAAGTAAACTTTTTGTGTCTTTCTTTATAATATGCAGTACCACTTGTACATATCACACATAATTGAACAGTTTCATATATCTACAGTGACTTTGGGACGATGGTATTTCAGTTTTGGACTTACATTTCTCGTGGAACTTACCCACATATTGAAATCTTTCTAATACTTGTAAGAGGACCAAATCTAACATTTGGAAAAAATATCATATTTAACATTGCAGGCTGTCCAGCACTTGACAAAAAATTAGGGCTAAATTTAGGGCTAAAATTACAAAATTTTAGGGCAAATTTAGGGCTAAAATTAGGAATTTTGTAACTAGAATAGGGAGTGTGAAAGTATTAAACTGACTTACCTTTGCAAATTTGACAAAATAGAAACTAACATACAATGCCTTAATTGCAGGAAAGGTGTCTTCCAGGGTTTCAGTGTCCCAGCTGCTGTTGGCTGTGACCTTAAGAATCACACCTCTGTCACTCAGTCACAACCAAAGACAATCTGGGCACATAGATCCACTGGTCAACTGCCTTTCATTGTCTTCCCTGAATTAGAACTACAGACTACATTGAAAAACATTTTAAGTATGAATTTAATGAAAACATTTTCAGTAAATTGTAAGAAATATAAAAAAAGTAGGAACTGAAGTGAAAAATTAGGGCTTTTTTAGGAATTCCCTTTGAATTTTTCATTTTTTTAGGAATTTTAGCAAAACTGAAAAAATGAGGATTTTTTTAGGAATTTTAGGGACTCTGGACAGCCTGACATTGTTCTAGATCTGTATTCATCAAAACTGTTTCTACAAATACCTTGAAATCCTGTCAAATATCACTTACCTTCTCATAATGTGTATCAAAGCAAATGTACGACATGTATGCTGTTAAACAAGCCAAGCAACTTTCACAGTAGTTTCTGCTACCCAAACTTTCTGCTTCATAAAACATGTTGTTCAGTTGGGTGACTGTCCTCACAAACTGTTCTGATTCAATCTAACACAGAAAAAGAAATAGCTGTTACATGTCTTTGAATGATGTCTAAATTTCTTTTTTCCATACTTAACACCACTTTCCATTCAAATTCAAAAGGAAATTAAAAGCAAATATTTTCAAATGAACAAGAAATTTTTCATGTTCAATATTTGATATACAAATACTGTACACATGTACCTTGCCATCCAGCTCTGGAGGAAACTTCGTGAGAAATTTAATGGAAGTACCGTCACTGAAATCCCTCTGGACAAAGACCTTTACACAGTTTGATGTCATCACTCGCGAAAGATCATCCATTTTGTGATTCTGAAAATACATATTATGTTTCCATTTCAAACTTTTATTTATTCAAAAACATTTAAAATCATTTCATATTAAAGCTAAAATCCCAGCACCTGCTGTTGATAATTTCATACTCCTTACAAAATTGTCTGTGCATGTAGCTTTAGGTAGTTTTTATATCTTTATATCTTTCCAGTTATAATAAAGTGAAAGAAGAACTAAGCCTGAAAGTAACATTTATTTTTCAATGTTAACCATTGTTCCTACAAGGCTGCAGAGTCTTTTTCATCAATGTTTGATGTGACCTACATACTGGCTGCATCCAAATATAGGCCACATTGGTTTCTTACAATATAGTTACCATTATGTTAACTACAGTTGGACAAGATACATTATAAACAACCGTAGGCAATCTATCAAGACCATCAGTGAAACATTTAACAAATTATATAGAAGCATTATGCAGAAATATTCCTTTATTTGTGTTTTCATTAATTATTCTGTTAATTTAAAATATTGAACATGTTTGTGGCCTCCACAGGTTGTCTTGGTATATAGAGGTCTAATGTAATGCAGAGTAGGCCTAGTATGTTCTACTAAAACATCTACCAATAAGACAATTTTAATTAACAGGAATCCACAGCCTACATAGCTAATCCACAGCCTACATAGCTGATCCACAGCCTATATAGCTATCAACGCTGATTTCCAATTCCAATGCCAATTCACAAGCAAACATAATTTCTCTGACTTACTGGTTTCTTTGCCCCAATACATGCAACATGATGAAGAATAAAATGAAAACTGTCTGAACAATATTTCTTATTTTTCAATATTCCGATCAGGCCACTGTCTTCACAGATCAACAGTTTCCTGCATTGCTATTACACGTTTGTAGACTTATCGTCACAATTTTTCAAAATGTTGAATGTTGATGTTTTAACTCTTATTCATTTTCACATGCATACTTTAATAAGCTCAACTATGTAAATTTAAGTTTGCTTTGACTAACGGAGGCTTATTGCGAATACTTCCACAACTCTACACACATAATTAACACTAGCTAACATTTACAGGTAATGTTTCATAAGACTTACTTGTGTCAAACAACTTTACACACCTAATTAACACTAGCTAACATTTACAGGTAATGTTTCATAAGACTTACTTGCCTCACACAACTTTACACACATAATTAACACTAGCTAACATTTACAGGTAATGTTTTATAAGACTTACTTGCGTCATGATTTACTCCCTTACAAAATGTCCACCTACTCCACTTCTGTCAGAGTTTTCTCATCATCAGCGAGTCACAGCAACTTACCTATATAAATATAAAGGGAGACAATTTTAACATTTTAAACAAATCATAATATTGTACATTTAAATACCAAAAACATAAGAGCTTAGAATAAATATTCTTTCTTGCATATTCTTATCAACTAAATGGTAGTTTAAGTTACTTTCCCTAGAACAATCTTCACACTATGGCCCATTCCTGGCCAAAAAAATGATCATCTAGTATTAAAAGATTAAAAGAAATGTCAATTTCTATGTGAATTCAGAAAACGATTCAAAGAAATATTCACTTTTGACATCACAAGCTTTAGACAAGCCAAAACTTTGGTTGGGAATTAATTTGAACCCTTGGGTTTGGATTTGGGTTTGAGCGGATCACCTAGAACTCAAGGTTTGTATTGGGCATATGTTGTAAACAGAGGTATAAATGATGGCTACTCCAGAAAAATCAAAGCACAAATTTTCAACCATGTCCTGTATCACAAGGCCATATTCTCTGCATAATCAGAAATCTTTTGAAAGAGCAAAACACACATATACATATCGTATAAACATAGGGGCAGATTGCCTTGAAAATTTGACAATTCACTTGTCTGTACTGCCGTTATTACTTCAATGGTCATATATATCTATTCCAGTAATAAGCATACAGTTTGTAGGTTTGTTTGTACAGATCCAGTACCAATATTGGAGCATACCATTGATATAACTAACTAGATTTCGTAATATATATATAGTATACACATGTATATAAACAGTAGCCAAGAGTCCAACTGTATCTGATGTTACACCACAAAGAAATAGAGAAAGTATGAAATGTGGCCATCACACGAGCATGTATGTTTCAATTTCGTTGGACTGGGTTATATTTTATCAAACTGTAGGAAAGCGACGTAGTTCAGTACCAAGTAGTTGTTAAAATATGATATCATTTTACACTTTTAACACCCGCTGTCTGCTGTACCTAGTATACACCATAGAGGCATTACAAATGATATGATATATGATATGGGTCACACATATGCATACATCGACACATGTGCACAGTATGTGTATGTATGAGTGCGACCCATTTCATATATCCTATCATTTGTAATGTACCCCTGTTTATATGATACAACATCTCTTTAAAATGTCTCGCTTAATATCGGACACCTCAGTCACAATAAGGAACGACCACGACACAAACATGATCTCAGATATGAACAGACAGGAAATGGAATCAAACGTTTGTCGATATTAACATAAAGAGATTGGCACATCGTGATGCATTTCACATTTAACAAATATTACTACACAAACCTGTTGAGATGAGATCGGCCATTAATGTTGTAATTTATTCATCCGGGGCTTCTGCGTCTTACTTCATTGGTCAATAATTATAATTTTGGGTCCCCAGTAATAGAGGAAAACAAATACATACGTGGACTTATCCGGACTTTCAAGTGCGTTTATAATACATACTATTAATGACATGTTTTCTTCAAATAACAAATCAATTAATGACCGCGTTCATCTCTGATATACACATGTATGTGTAACAGAGGTCATTATCTATTTCCATGCTACCGCTAGGATTCGAACCCAGGACCATCTGGCATAGTAGTCTAGCTGACGCCCAACCGATCGAGCCGTTCTCTAGCCGAGCGGTATATTGTAGCTAGTTACATCATGCGCTTTCAAGAACTCAAAGATAATGATTAAAAAATGATTAACCACAGCCTTTTTAAAAGGACATTTTTTTTCTCTAATGTGGCCATGCTTCTATCCAATTCAAATACATAGTACAGAGCAAATCTCGAATTCATTGAACTCGTACATTTTAATTCTCATAGAGATTTATGACTTTCATTTACATAAAACTTTAATTGAACATGATCATTAAATTATAATGACAATCTTCAATTTAAAAGATAATTTTAAAGAGAAAGTCTATAAGCGCTGCCCATTCACAATTCCATTCATTTAAGTAACAGATAAATTTATTGATACACTTATCACAAATAAACGGCTATCGGCATCGATGGTAATGGACCTAATTTATTATGTTATGCAAACCTGTCATAATTAACGATATAACAGGAAGCGATCCATTCACTTTAAAGCAGGCCCAAGTCACTCCCAACCATAAAGGTAAAGCCAAAGATTGCCCTGATAATCATAGATCAATTTCTATATTAACAACTATTTATATTTCTAATTATTTTAGAAACATGTATCACATCATCTCTACAAATATTTAATGAAATATAACGTATTGCCATCTTCTCAGGTAGGCTTAAGACAAAACCTTCTTGTCAAATAGTCCTTGTTAAACTTATAGATGGCTGGTTAATTAGTTTCGATAACAACAAGTCTGTGAGACGTTTATTTGTTTATCTAAAAAGGCCTTCGACTTAGTAGACCATGAAATATTATTACATAAATTAAGTATATTAAATATTTCCACTGACAGTTTATGTTGATTCAAATCTTTCTTTCAGAGAGGGAGGAACTTGTCAAATGTGGTGACATATCATCCGACGGGCAATACATCAAGCAAGGTATACCACAAGGTTCAATAAAGGTCACCTATTGTTCATAATTGATATCAATGTGAAACTGATGTGTCTGCAGATGAAACAACCTTACATGTAAATGGAGCTAACTCTTTTGATATTAATTGTAAACTACAAAATGATCTTGAGAATGAAATGAGATGCTGTACTGATAATAACATGCTAAAAATCAACAGAAAGCTAACAGTATGTTAATTTCCTTACGTCGGAAGTTTACAACAGAGACTCCTATAAACAACGCTGTCAATGGTTTTGATATAACATCAACAACAACTCAAACGATTATTGGTATTGATATAGATGAAAACTTTACCTGGACAGAAAAGGTCTAAGAAAGATGAAAGAAAACTGTCTTCAGCTGTTGCTTTATTTACCGTGCTCTGCTAGGAAACTATATTACAATGCCTACATTATCCCGATCATAGACTATGTGGCTATCGTACGGGGTAATGGTCTTACTATCGAACAACTTCAAATTGTTACAAAGTTACAAAAACAAGCCATTTGAGTTATATTAAATAAACCCTTTTTAAACACCAATTAGGGAAATTTTTAAGGAAAGTGATATTCTACCCTTTGTTATTAAACTTAAGTATCACACTTGTGTGATGATTTATAAGGCTATCAGTAATATGGCTACAGAATACATTAGTAACAGTATCGGTGTATGTGATGATAAGTATCGTTATCATTTGAGATCTACATCAAATAATAATCTGTTTTACCGAGACCATTAACCAAATATCTCAAAATATCTACTTCAAATATGAAATTCTCCTTGTAGTCATTATTCATCCTAAATTTATCTGGATGTTGTCTGTTAATATTTTTCAAACAGGTCATGTAATGAATATACATGTACTTGACTTATGTATATCTATATCTGGTTTCAAAATTTTATGATTAAATTTTATGTAAACCTAATTATTGTTACAACTTGATCAAGTTCTAGGTTAATTATGTTATAATTATTTCATTATTATATGTATTGTTGTTGACTTTGATTTACTTGATTTAATGGTAACTCTTTATCTTTATATGTATATCAATGGGGTATATATATATATATGTATATATATTTATATAAGAACCCGATTTATTGTTAGTATTTGTTGATGATTAATCATTTGGGAGAACCGTGTGGAAGATTACCCTCAGAAAATAAATAATGATCGTTTTTTATTTTACAACACTAAGTCATTCCAACTTAAATGGGTTATTCTTTTCAGCCTGTTGGTGTGTAAGAAGCGCGAAATATGTTACTGAGTAATGTGGTCGGACAGGTGACCAATGCATATATATATACCTTTCCGTCCGGACATCAGGGTGAAAGGTGATACCGTGAGTGTTTTAATATTGCGCCATCCTACCACCCATGTTATGTGTTTCAAGATAAAGACAAGATGTATTTAAGAAACACTATCCCTCCGTTTAAATACAATTCTGAAGTGTGACATGAAAACTACCGTTGTATGGCATGTACTAATTGCATGCACACTTTGTGAAACACTTGTCTTCATTGTGGTATTTTTTAAACTTTTAAATGTAGGTCAAAGGTCACGGTCAATGTCATATGGTCAAAAATTTGGTATCACCTGAAAGGTTTTGTCACAAGGCACTCCTATGCCAAATATGAAATCTCTATCTCTTATGGTGCAATAGTTATGGGCCAGGTTAAAGTTGACAACAAACAGACTGACAAATTAACAAACACATAGCACAAAAACAATATGCCACGGCATAAAAGCAATTTCATCTAATTTATAACTTGTTATCACCATAGTTGTAAAATAAATACAGACTTCCTAGTCCGAAATGAGATATTTTCATATGTTATTTAGGTCTCCGTCGAAATAGATGTGTAGCTTTCCGGAAAACAAGGTCCGGGAACCTGCCTACAAAGTTACTTAGTCATCACAACGTTTCAACATGGCGGCGACCAGAAGAGTGTTTAGCCCCATAGTGGGTAAGGTTACGTCGCTTGACTTTGTAACGTCGAAAATAAGAGTAATTTGTACTGATGTACTCTATAGTCATTTTCTTTCATACACCATGTATGCAACATATTAAGAAGAAGACACACTTTACGTTATATGTCTTCAGTTACCAGTAATAATGTTTGACCTACAGCAGACGCCGGTCAAACTTATCTTGCATGACCTATAAAACTCAAAATATTTAGCAACGTATTTGGTAATCTTTCAAAATGGCGAGGCATTCTTACGTTGTACACGTGGTCGATCTTTTATTTGCAAGTTCTTGTTGAACGGTGATACATAGAAATTCTGAGTGAAATACGATATAGCCTGTTATGCACATACAAAATGTAGTCCGAACGAAGAAGCAGCCACCGAGTTTGACCATTTCCATGTATCTGAGATTGTATTTTCATTTCTTTGTCGTCGACTGAAAAATACAAGAAAAAATAATGAAGTAAAAGAAAATTGCGCATAGATTGTCAGATGTCTTCCGACTAAGTCAGCTTACGATATATTTTCATACGAGACTGCATTACTGAGTTTTGTTAGCACGGTATACATACCTTGTAAGCGGAAGGTAAACATCAATGTACGCGAAATTTATGTACCAGACTCAATGAGCAGACTCTTTTTGCCGTGTGATTAAATAGATCTAACATATATTGGGCCCATCCAGCACTCTGTATTATATTTTGTTAAACTCTACTGTAAACTGAAAGTAATCTGTCCAGAAAGCTTATCAATATCTGTGGAAATATTTAAATTCTAAGTCATAAAGCTAATAACGATTTCTTACGAATTTTTAGAAAATGCAAAATAACTGTCCATGAATTTGATATCCACAAAATGAAAATAATTTTGTTATCTATCAGGAAACAGAATATTCTATTGGTTACATTTTCTCACCTTTCTTTGATATCAGCTGAAGTTTTCTCTCTGTTAATTTACTTGCTCAACAATTACGTAGTTACATCTTCTGTAAGACACACATTTTCAAATGATATAAAGTGAATACAACACATGTGACTTTCTTATACAAATATAAATAAATTAAGAGTTTTTGTACCTTAAGGGTACCACCAAGCACTGTGGGAGAAATTGATATTTTCCCGAAAATACTATGAAGTCATTGATGAAAAAAATTAGGGAAAATATCAAAATCTTATATTTTCATGGTAAAACCCTATATTTCACTGGGAAAAATGTCAAAAAATAAAACATTTCACTTTCAATAAATATGATAACTTCCAATGGTTGTGGATAAATTGAGATTCGTTGTTCTTACAGTTGCTGCCAGAGTTGGTATAAGACATTGTTACACCGGAACAAGAAATAATTTGGCAATCAACAAAAACACAAAAGTCATATGTCAAGGATTTACAGGGAAACAGGTAAGAATTATAAATACATATGTCAGTATTGTAAAATGAATAAACTTTCATTTGACGAATATGTTCATTGCAAAAATATGAGTACAAACTTAAGTCTCGATTTCAAATAGAACGAAGGTTTAGGTTTACAGTGTACATTCTTTTATCAGTATATAATGTGAAAGTACAGGTGCACATAATTATCTATTTCTATGCCAATCATAATTAACATACCAAAGTTGATATTTGGACACTAGAGAATTTTCACTATTGTCAGTAAGATGTAAGTAAAAGATATCACACCATGTCATCTTGACCTGAAAGGTCAGAGTTATACAGTGAAAGTGATAGAAATGGTAAAGGAAAACTATTGAAAAGAATGCTTTACATTGAGTCTTAGAGAATTAGGAAAAAAAATCCATTAAAAAATCCTTCTTTGGATTAAGTTTTAAACCATAGAATTTTGATATAAAATCTGTGGTTATAATAAAAACAAATGTAAAGGGTTAAAACAATGTACTGGTCATGTTGGAAACAACAGATAAACATACAATTCTGTAAAATTGAAGACAACCACAAAATCTGAACACATGATGACAATTTTCTTATGATATAATTCAATTATTCTATATAGTGTGAGTTCTTCAGTGTCCAAATGTAAGACACCAAGGTTTGGTATGTGTTCTATGATTATTCAATACAGTATCTTTGGTTTTGAGAATGAGTCAAAATTCAGTCATTGGTACATCAAACATGAATCTATCTTTACAATTTGTACTAAATGTGGTGATTTTGATATTGTACTAATAAGTAATGAAGTCTGAACATAGTCAACAAACTAAAGCTGACTTACCACAGATTTTGTGTGTTAATAAACATGTTCATGATTATGTTGGTGACAAATTTAATGTATTATATTGTGGGTATGTGTTACAGATATCAATTATATTTTGTCGGAAAATTCTGTTTGAAAAGAAAGAAGATAAATTGATAAAGATTTTTAAACTAGGTCACAACAGGCGAAATAAAATTGCACCAATTTGTTTTCTGGTTTCGTAATATGTTTGATGACATATTTTTTTCAGAAATAAACCTCAAGACCTCTTGTTCACAGTAACACCAAGAAATAGTCCTTTGTTTAACATGGCCTTGCAGTATAGTTTGGAAATGGTTGAGGTCTAGTTAAACTATACAGGCCCAATGGACCACATGTATCAGATAATGCCAAACAAATTTGCCTTTTAATCAGTATTATAGCGATCAAATGGTTACAGTTATCCAGTACATTCATTTCTTTCCGGTTGTTTTTTAGGGTACTTTTCACAGTCAGCAAGCTATAGAATATGGGACACAAATGGTTGGTGGTGTGTCACCTGGTAAAGGAGGCCAAACCCATCTAGGTTTACCAGTGTTTAACACAACAAAAGAGGTAAGAATCTTTGACATGTGCTGTACAGTTTATATAGTACAGTAAAACAAGGATTAGTTTAGGTACAAACTAAGCAATATTGTTAGAATAGAGACTACTTTGCTAGAGTAATGTCAGAATTAGTTCCTTTATTAAATGGTACATTGTATAACTTCTTCATGTTGGGTAATAATGTTTTGTAACAATTCCTTTTAATGTTCTGATTTATTGTTTTATTAAATCCAGAAGAAAGGAAAGTACATGTGTAATTTTCTTTTACAGGCAATGGAAGCAACAAATGCGGATGCGACAGTTGTGTATGTACCTCCTAGAATGGCTGGTCAGGCCCTGGTGGAGGCTATAGATGCTGAGGTACCTTTAATCGTCTGTATTACAGAGGGAATCCCACAACAGGACATGGTCCGAGTAAAACACAAGCTCCTACGCCAAAATAAATCTAGACTCATTGGTCCTAACTGTCCCGGAATCATTAAACCTGGCGAGTGTAAAATTGGAATCATGCCAGGTCACATTCATCAAAAAGGAAGAATAGGTTAGTGACACTTCATTGGAAGTTTTTTACCTTAGGAAAATTTTCACAATTTACATGCATACTTAATATTATGCAATCAATAGTCCAGTATATGTATAACATGATAGGTCATTCAAACTATCGATGATTGTACTATACATAATCTGTTACTGAAACTACTGGTCCAAATAATATTAGTTTAAGAAAGATCAAAGGCTTTTGTTCTCCGATTAGGACTATACCAGTACCTCCTTTTCATCTGCCTGAATCTAATAAATGCACAAGGTTCAGTACGTATTAGGCTGTTTCAGTCAAACAAAGAGGACATTACAAGGCTTTCTAGTTCATATGGAGATTTATGAAACGAGTACAATGTACCAAGCCTCTGATAAGGTAAATTAAGAATTTCACATGAGCTTCGTAAATCACATACCGTTATAAAACGGAAATGAATGTTTAATTCATTTTATCACATTTATTTGTGTAAAAGGAAACTTTGCATACTGTGTTTTAGGTATTGTGTCACGTTCGGGGACTCTAACATATGAGGCCGTGCACCAGACAACACAAGCTGGACTCGGACAAACTCTATGTGTGGGTATTGGTGGTGATCCATTCAATGGCACAAATTTCATTGACTGCCTTCAGGTCTTCCTTAACTGTCCAGACACAGAAGGTAGGTGCCTTAAGTTTAATTGTATTTGATATAGGCATTAGAGGCTGATCTGATCCTCTCACACTTAATATATTGAGGATTTATGTGCTCTCCATCTCCTGTTTGCAATAAAATCTAATCAAAGAACAAACCTCAATAATCCTTGAACCATTTCTAAGACAAACATGTCACTGAAATTTTAGAACTGTCTATGACTTTGCATAGGTCATATTCTTTTACTATTTCCTTCTTATCAAGAGCTTTTCATGGGTTATTTCCCTTCACTAATGCTTTCTTATCCAGGTATTGTGCTGATTGGTGAGATTGGTGGTCAGGCAGAAGAAAAGGCAGCTGAATATCTGAAAAACTTTAACACTGTAAGTACAGTTTAAAGAATTATGTCAGGTATAATTGTATAGATTTATGTTTGGAATCATTGTATAGATTTGTGTCTGGTATCATTGTGTAGATTTATGTCAGGTATCAGTGTATAGATTTATGTCAGGTATCATTGTATAGATTTATGTCTGGAATCATTGTATAGATTTATGTCTGGTATCATTGTATAGATTTATGTCAGGTATCAGTGTATAGATTTATGTCAGGTATCATTGTATAGATTTATGTCTAGATTTATGTATCATTGTATAGATTTATGTCAGGTATCATTGTATAGATTTATGTCAGGTATCATTGTATAGATTTATGTCAGGTATCATTGTATAGATTTATGTCAGGCATCAGTGTATAGATTTATGTCAGGTATAATTGTATAGATTTATGTCAGGTATCATTGTATAGATTTATGTCAGGTATAATTGTATAGATTTATGTCAGGCATCAGTGTATAGATTTATGTCAGGTATCATTGTGTAGATTTATGTCAGGCATCAGTGTATAGATTTATGTCAGGTATAATTGTATAGATTTATGTCAGGTATCATTGTATAGATTTATGTCAGGTATCATTGTATAGATTTATGTCAGGTATCATTTTATAGATTTATGTCAGGTATCATTGTATAGATTTATGTCAGGTATCATTGTATAGATTTATGTCAGGTATCATTGTATAGATTTATGTCAGGTATAATTGTATAGATTTATGTCTGATATTATTGTATAGATTTATGTCTGATATTATTGTATAGATTTATGTCAGGTATCATTGTATAGATTTATGTCAGGTATCAGTGTATAGATTTATGTCAGGTATCATTGTATAGATTTATGTCAGGTATCATTGTATAGATTTATGTCAGGTATCATTGTATAGATTTATGTCTGATATTATTGTATAGATTTATGTCAGGTATCATTGTATAGATTTATGTCAGGTATCAGTGTATAGATTTATGTCAGGTATCATTGTATAGATTTATGTCAGGTATCAGTGTATAGATTTATGTCAGGTATCAGTGTATAGATTTATGTCAGGTATCATTTTATAGATTTATGTCTGATATTATTGTATAGATTTATGTCTGATATTATTGTATAGATTTATGTCTGATATTATTGTATAGATTTATGTCAGGTATCATTGTATAGATTTATGTCAGGTATCATTGTATAGATTTATGTCAGGTATCAGTGTATAGATTTATGTCAGGTATCATTGTATAGATTTATGTCAGGTATCAGTGTATAGATTTATGTCAGGTATCAGTGTATAGATTTATGTCAGGTATCAGTGTATAGATTTATGTCAGGTATAATTGTATAGATTTATGTCAGGTATCATTGTATAGATTTATGTCAGGTATCATTGTATAGATTTATGTCTGATATTGTATAGATTTATGTCAGATATTATTGTATAGATTTATTATTGTATAGATTTATGTCTGATATTATTGTATAGATTTATGTCAGGTATGTTATTGTATAGATTTATGTCAGGTATCATTGTATAGATTTATGTCAGGTATCATTGTATAGATTTATGTCAGGTATCATTGTATAGATTTATGTGTATCATTGTATAGATTTATGTCATATCATTGTATAGATTTATGTCTATCATTGTATAGATTTAGGTATTATTGTTATAGACCTATTTATGTCAGGTATCATTGTATGATTTATGTCAGGACCTATCATATCATGATTGTATAGATTTATGTCAGGTATCAGTGTATAGATTTATGTCAGGTATCAGTGTATAGATTTATGTCAGGTATCAGTGTATAGATTTATGTCAGGTATCATTGTATAGATTTATGTCAGGACCTATCAGACCTATCACTAATTATACAGACCTATCACTAAGTGTATGATTGTTACAGGGACCTATCACTAAGTGTCTATGATTGTTACAGGGACCTATCACTAAGTGTCTTTGATTGTTACAGGGACCTATTAAGTGTCTATGATTGTTACAGGGACCTATCACTAAGTGTCTATGATTGTTACAGGGACCTATCACTAAGTGTCTGATTGTTACAGGGACCTATCACTAAGTGTCTATGATTGTACAGGGACCTATCACTAAGTGTCTATGATTGTTACAGGGACCTATCACTAAGTGATGATTGTTACAGGGACCTATCACTAAGTGTCGATGATTGTTACAGGGACCTATCACTAAGTGTCGATGATTGTTATAGGGACCTATCACTAAGTGTCTATGATTGTTACAGGGACCTATCACTAAGTGTCTATGATTGTTACAGGGACCTATCACTTTGATTGTTACAGGGACCTATCACCAAGTGTCTATGATTGTTACAGGGACCTATCACTAAGTGTCTATGATTATTACAGGGACCTATCACTAAATGTCTGATTGTTACAGGGACCTATCACTAAGTGTCTATGATTGTTACAGGGACCTATCACTAAGTGTCTATGATTGTTACAGGGACCTATCACTAAGTGTCTATGATTGTTACAGGGACCTATCACTAAGTGTCTATGATTGTTACAGGGACCTATCACTAAGTGTCTATGATTGTTACAGGGACCTATCACTAAGTGTCTTTGATTGTTACAGGGACCTATCACTAAATGATTATTGTCTAATGATTGTTACAGGGACCTATCACTAAGTGTCTATGATTGTTACAGGGACCTATCACTAAGTGTCTATGATTGTTACAGGGACCTATCACTAAGTGTCTATGATTGTTACAGGGACCTATCACTAAGTGTCTAAGATTGTTACAGGGACCTATCACTAAGTGTCTATGATTGTTACAGGGACCTATCACTAAGTGTCTACTGATTGTTGATTATTACAGGGACCTATCACTAAGTGTCTGATTGTTACAGGGACCTATCACTAAGTGTCTTTGATTGTTACAGGGACCTATCACTAAGTGTCTATGATTGTTACAGGGACCTATCACTAAGTGTCTGATTGTTACAGGGACCTATCACTAAGTGTCTATGATTGTTACAGGGACCTATCACTAAGTGTCTATGATTATTACAGGGACCTATCACTAAGTGTCTATGTTTTTTACAGTGACCTATCACTAAGTGTCTATGATTGTTACAGGGACCTATCACTAAGTGTCTATGATTGTTACAGGGACCTATCACTAAGTGTCTGATTGTTACAGGGACCTATCACCAAGTGTCTATGATTGTTACAGGGACCTATCACTAAGTGTCTATGATTATTACAGGGACCTATCACTAAATGTCTATGATTGTTACAGGGACCTATCACTAAGTGTCTATGATTGTTACAGGGACCTATCACTAAGTGTCTATGATTGTTACAGGGACCTATCACTAAGTGTCTATGATTGTTACAGGGACCTATCACTAAGTGTCTATGATTGTTACAGGGACCTATCACTAAGTGTCTATGATTGTTACAGGGACCTATCACTAAGTGTCTATGATTATTACAGGGACCTATCACTAAGTGTCTGTTGATTTGATTGTTACAGGGACCTATCACTAAGTGTCTTTGATTGTTACAGGGACCTATCACTAAGTGTCTATGATTGTTACAGGGACCTATCACTAAGTGTCTTTGATTGTAACAGGGACCTATCACTAAGTGTCTATGATTGTTACAGGGACCTATCACTAAGTGTCTATGATTGTTACAGGGACCTATCACTAAGTGTCTATGATTGTTACAGGGACCTATCACTAAGTGTCTATGATTGTTACAGGGACCTATCACTAAGTGTCTGATTGTTACAGGGACCTATCACTAAGTGTCTTTGATTGTTACAGGGACCTATCACTAAGTGTCTATGATTGTTACAGGGACCTATCACTAAGTGTCTATGATTGTTACAGGGACCTATCACTAAGTGTCTATGATTGTTACAGGGACCTATCACTAAGTGTCTATGATTGTTACAGGGACCTATCACCAAGTGTCTATGATTGTTACAAGGACCTATCACTAAGTGTCTATGATTGTTAATTGTTACAGGGACCTATCACTAAGTGTCTATGATTGTTACAGGGACCTATCACTAAGTGTCTGATTGTTACAGGGACCTATCACTAAGTGTCTGTGATTGTTACAGGGACCTATCACTAAGTGTCTATGATTGTTACAGGGACCTATCACTAAGTGTCTATGATTGTTACAGGGACCTATCACTAAGTGTCTATGATTGTTACAGGGACCTATCACTAAGTGTCTATGCTTGTTACAGGGACCTATCACTAAGTGTCTATGATTGTTACAGGGACCTATCACTAAGTGTCTATGATTGTTACAGGGACCTATCACTAAGTGTCTATGATTGTTACAGGGACCTATCACTAAGTGTCTATGATTGTTACAGGGACCTATCACTAAGTGTCTATGATTGTTACAGGGACCTATCACTAAGTGTCTGATTGTTACAGGGACCTATCACTAAGTGTCTTTGATTGTTACAGGGACCTATCGCTAAGTGTCTTTGATTGTTACAGGGACCTATCACCAAGTGTCTATGATTGTTACAGGGACCTATCACTAAGTGTCTATGATTGTTACAGGGACCTATCACTAAGTGTCTATGATTGTTACAGGGACCTATCACTAAGTGTCTATGCTTGTTACAGGGACCTATCACTAAGTGTCTATGATTGTTACAGGGACCTATCACTAAATGTCTTTGAGTGTTACAGGAACCTATCACTAAGTGTCTATGATTATTACAGGGACCTATCACTAAGTGTCTATGATTGTTACAGGGACCTATCACTAAGTGTCTATGATTATTACAGGGACCTATCACTAAGTGTCTGATTGTTACAGGGACCTATCACTAAGTGTCTTTGATTGTTACAGGGACCTATCGCTAAGTGTCTATGATTGTTACAGGGACCTATCACTAAGTGTCTATGATTGTTACAGGGACCTATCACTAAGTGTCTATGATTGTTACAGGGACCTATCACTGAGTGTCTATGATTGTTACAGGGACCTATCACTAAATGTCTTTGAGTGTTACAGGAACCTATCACTAAGTGTCTGATTGTTACAGGGACCTATCACTAAATGTCTTTGATTGTTACAGGGACCTATCACTAAGTGTCTATGATTGTTACAGGGACCTATCACTAAATGTCTTTGATTGTTACAGGGACCTAATGCGAAGCCAGTTGTATCCTTTATTGCTGGTTTGACCGCCCCACCAGGACGTCGTATGGGCCATGCTGGGGCTATCATTGCCGGAGGTAAGGGTGGTGCAGAGGAGAAAATAGAGTCCCTAAAATCTGCAGGTGTTCACGTCAGCATGTCTCCAGCTCAACTAGGCACCACAATGCTTCAGGTAAGTAAAGAATGGAGCTGACAATTTGTATAGTAGTGTATGATATATATCAGTATTATTTCTGTAATACATAGTTTATGTAGTTTCTGTTTGGTTGCATTAACTTACCATGTACTTGCTAATTAAAATTATTCATTTATTTGTCGTAAAATGCACCTATTATAGTAAAGTCATCTTACATTTAGGAAAATGAGGCGAAACAACGTAGATTATACATTAACACTTTACAAAGCTAAGGACTAATAATGATACAGATAATCTTTGTTTTTTTATTTGTTTTTTTAATCAAGAAGACGTTATGTGATTGAGTATTTAATAATGTTTTAGACTTTAGTTTTCATAGAATACATATTTAGTAGGTTTATGTACCAAATTTGGATTTATTAATGATTAAGACGGATAACTGACAGTTGGTAAACATATATATAAATTAATTTCGTTTTATGCAGGCTATGAAAAAAAAACAGTAATTAGTTGTAAGTCTTTGGTGAGTTTAGTTTGTTTCGTTCCATATCTGCATTCGTTAGAACCTGTTACATGTTTGTTGTAAAGAGTTGGTGTTCCCTGCCTTTTCCATCCCCACCTTTGCTTGTTTTCTTGTAGTATTATATAGTTTATGTCAAGTGCATTTCTAGTGCTAGTAAAAAGCTGTTAAGTAAAGGTTCATATACTCAATAAGATGTTCTCCTATCTGTAATAGAATCCACTGTTGGTGATGGACTTGCGGTATCTGAATCTTCTTTGCTTGCGATAGTCTGTGAACTAAGACTGATATCTGAAACAGACCCTATACATATGCTTGACATACATAAGTCTTTAGAATATTTCATTGCTTCTGAAAATGTATTGCATCAGTTGTCAGGACACTTTGTCATTTATGAAGTCATGCATTTTTTATTCAGTTAAAATTGACATCAATCTTCAAGTCAACAGGAACATTTTGTTGCTGGCAATTCAACTTTTACTCCAAAACAGATTAATATAAACCAAACTAGAAACTTGTTCAATGATTTGATATTTTTTGGATTTTGAGTGTTGGATTGTTTTCTTTATTATGTATAGTTAATAATTTTTTATATATTTTGGGCTGAAAAGTGGTGCCTAGTAAACTGTTCATATTGTTTGGTTTCTTTAATATACATATCAAACATTTTTTGTCATATTTTGTAAAGATGTATTTCATGTTCCATGTAATCAAAGAATGAATAGAATTTTACTGGCAATACTGAAAGTATAGATAGCTAAAAGATGTGTTTTCTGTTTTTGTATATTTGACTGAAATATGGCTGAGGTTGGCCTGTGTGTCAGAATACATTAGGTATTATATTCTCTTCAGGCTCCTGAAATATGTTCTGATCACTACAAAACCATAGAGTACATCTGAATCTTCTGAAATTATGTTCTGATTGTCCAGCATGACAACTGGCATTGTGTGTTAGTATATCTTGGAATGACAATGCATACCAGTGTTATGGTAGCCATAACTCTAGATTTTTGTGTTTGACCTTTATAAAAAATGAGATACCAAAGAGATCCGACACACACTTTTACTTTATCTTTACATTTTTTTTTGTATTGGTCCTTAAAGTTGGATGTTTTTCTATCTCTTCTCTTGTTTTTGCTATTTATTAACACTGAAATTAAAAAAAAATTGCTCTTGAAGAGCAATAAGAAACTTTCATTTTCGCAATCCAAGATGGCTGCCTGCCAGCCATTTTGTTTTTCTGATCAATTCCACAAAGTCAGAAGGGCTCAACAAGGGACCAAGGGGAACTTACATAATAAATAAAAGAAAGATCCATCAGCTACTTCTGAAGAAATTGTAATAAAAAAATTTCATTTACAAAATCCATTCATTTTTTGCTGATTAATCTCAAAATCAAAGGACACAACTAAGGACCAAAGAGAAACTACTTATGAAATTTTATTAAAGATCCATCCAGTACTTTTCACGAAAAAGCTATAACAATATCTCATTGGCGGCCTGTCTGATATTTTGTTTTTCGAAGCAGTGTCAAAATGAAGAGGGTACATTATAAGGTACCAAGGGAATATACCTATGAGATTTGAGAAAGATCCATTCTATTTTTCTCAAGAAAGAGCAACATCAATCTTTTCTAAGTAGAATCAAAGATAACTGTCTGTCAACAATTTTGTTTTTGTGATCAGTTCTAAAATCAAAGGCACAACAAGCTAAAGGGATGAAGGGGCACCTATTTATGAAATCTTGAGAAAGATCCATTTAGTACTAATAGTTAAAACAAACTTTAATATTCAAAATCCAAGATGGCCACCTGTTATCCTGTTTGTTTTTTCCAATCAATCCGTGTCGTCAATCTTGTTTTTTTTATCAGACTCAAAATTTTGTACAGCTAAGGCCCCAGGTGAATCTGCATATGAAATTCAAGAATGATCCTTTATTAATGCTAAATCTTTCAAAAGTTTCTTGTCATGTAAATCTCTAATATTGTTGGAGTAGATACAGTCTGTGGAAAGAATAAGTTGTGAACCAGTCCACCAGAAGTAGGACACTGTGACCTATATTATGATTTTAGAAAGAACAGCATTTTAGACTCATTTTTGTACCTTTATGGTACTTTGGATCATCAAAATTTGTCTATTGGTACATCAAGGATACATTCCTGGAATGGTTGTGAAAGGGTATGGGGCTATCCAACCACCTTGGTTTTCCACTGAATACTCTGGTTTCCACTTACAGTAAGAATCCCTCATGTCTAAACAGGCCAACAAGAGTGATAAATATCTGTTTTAGAAACCTGTTTTACAATTACTGTAAAATCAGTCAATTTATGAAAAATGGAAAATTATGAACCTTCTGACCTTTTGTAATTGCAATGAATGAGAAAATACAAGCATTATGACCATTATCAACCACAATAATTGATGTAGGATCTGTGACAGTTGTCTGATGGTACATGTTGGGAAGGCTGTGTGTCACATAACAGGAGTAGGTAACTTTGATGATATTTTGGAATATTTTTTTACCTGCTACATGCATGTTAACAGTGGTACAAAACAGTAACCTAAGCTAACATTTTGTGTTAATATGAAATTAATATAACTGTGTTGCAAGCTTAAGTTGATGCATAAAAAAGCAATTTCTTTTTGTTTATTACTATTTTCATTTTCAATAGTGTAAGAGCCTGGGAGATCTAACAGACTTGTGTTGTCTTTAGCCCAGCTTGGTATCATGTTTGGAACGTATAAGAAACCATGTTGGCATTAGCAGTCTCTTGTCTATACATTTCTTTCCCCTTGCTCAACATTATCTAAACCCTATTTCATGGTAATTTGTATAAAATAATTAAAAATTATTCCATGGTTGTTTGTATGAATGTTTTCTAAACCCCATATAAAAATGGGTTATATAAATGTTTTCTAAAATTTACCTGAGGGTAGTTTGTGTAAACAATACTTAAAACCTATTCCATGGTAATTTGTGGAAACATTACCCAAAACCTCGCTATTTCATGGTAGTTTGTATTTATTTCATGGCATTTCTTTTTCTATGAAATTATTATCTTCAACCCATTTACATATACATGTATTTGCAAATTGTATGTGATGTGAATATAAGACATCAGTTAGCATAATGATGTAGTAACTTTGCCACTGCCCACAGACATGAATGAGCAGGAAATAATGCAGCCTTAGTGACATCTTCCGATAGTGAATTTATAGAGAAAATGCTTCAAGAAGAAGTGAGTCAGAGAGAAAGCAAAGAACCTGAAGACATTATTAACTGTGTTTGAGGGCCTCCATGGAAAAGAAAAATTGTCAGATTCTAAAAGCATATTTATAAATCAAAAATATAGACTAACAACAATGAACATTTAATACATATAGGATATTTAATAGTGTCTTCAGTAATAATAAATATATTTCACTCGTGTGGCTAATATTTTTGCTCGTGAAAGATACCAAAATATTAGCCACATGAGGGAAATATATTTGTTAGCCTACCATCATCAGATGGTGGGGTATTCAAATCGCCCTGCCGTCTGTGGTCCGTCGTCCGTCCGTCCGTAAACAATTCTTGTTAACGCTATTTCTGGAAAAGTAGTGGATGAATCTTTCTCAAATTTCATATGCAGGTTCCCCTTGGTCCCTAGTTGTGCATTGTACCTTTTTTGAACTGATTCGCATTCGAGATGGCCGACAGGTGGCCATCTTGGATTTTGGAAGTAAAAGTTTGTTACCGCTATTTCTGGAAAAGTACTGGATGGATCTTTCTCAAATTTCATATGCAGGTTCCCCTTGGTCCCTAGTTGTGCATTGTACCTTTTTTGGCCTGATTCGAATTCAAGATGGCCAACAGGTGGCCATCTGGGATTTTGGAAGTAAAAGTTTGTTACCGCTATTTCTGAGAAAGTACTGGATGGATCTTTCTCAAATTCCATATGCAGTTTCCCCTTGGTCCTTAGTTGTGCACTGTACCTTTTTTTGACTGATTCGAATTCAAGATGGCCGACAGGTGGCCATCTTGGATTTTGGATGTAAAAGTTTGTTACCGCTATTTCTTGGAAAGTACTGGATGGATCTTTCTCAAATTCCATATGCAGTTTCCCCTTGGTCCTTAGTTGTGCACTGTACCTTTTTTTGACTGATTTGAATTCAAGATGGCCGACAGGTGGCCATCTTGGATTTTGGATGTAAAAGTTTGTTACCGCTATTTCTTGGAAAGTACTGGATGGATCTTTCCCAAATTTCATATGTAGGTTCCCCTTGGTCCCTAGTTGTGCATTGTACCTTTTTTGGATTGATTCGAATTCAAGATGGCCGACAGGCAGCCATCTTGGATTTTGAGAGTAAAATTTTGTTACTGCTATATCTGAGGAAGTACTGGATGGATCCTTCTGATATTTCATAGATATTGGTTTCCCTTGGTCCCTAGTTGTGCATTGTACCTTTTTTGGACTGATTTGAAATCAAGGTGGCCCACAGGCAGCCATCTTGGATGTCGACAGTAATACAGCACAAGCATATTGTCCATTATCCACCTGTAACTGACTGCTATCTAATAATACTTTGGGATCTTTTTCAAATGATATTTGCTAATAGGTGCTTAATAAAAATATCTTGTGCCATCATTGAGTACATTCAATGAAGACCAGTTCATGAACATTTACAACACCTGTAACAAGCAAAAAAAAATAAACAAATCTTCAAGAACTGAAAACAGATCCTCAAATGGTGGGTGCCAAGATCCCTCTGGGATCTCTTGTTATCACTCTTAGATATTCTGTTTATTACATTTTCATCGCAAAAATAAACCAAAACAATGGCAAACTTATGATAACTATAAAATGGGTAAGTTGACCATGCTTTTTCCAGACACTACTCACTGATTTTACAACGATGTTGTGCGCGGCAAAAACAGTCCATTGTATGAAAAATCAGTAAAAATATACAGACCCATAAATAAATCATAATGAATGTTTATTTGGGTTTGGACATGGATTTTGT